TCATCACCATCATCATCGTCATCATCACCGTCATCCTCACTCACCGAGTAGACATCATCATCAGGTTTAAATTTAACATTTCTATTATAACACAGCGTGTTTGTGGCTTGCGCTGGTGATGATAATGATGACGATAACACATGTGAGGTCATAGTAATAGTAGCAGTTAGAGTAGTAGTAGTAGTGGTAGTTGATGATGTATTATTATTTGTATTATTATTATTAGTAGTAGTAGTCGTATCAGTAGAAGTTGTATTAGTGACATTAGTGTTACTCGTTTTTTTTGCTGAAGATGACGTCATTGACGATGTTGATGCTGACGACGATGATGAGGCTGGTGTCGGCGCTGCCGTAGCGTTTTGCCTGCTTGGCGCAAATCCTGATTATAATTGTGTATGAGATATAAGACCATAGATAAAATATTAAATAGATAGAATAATAATTTTAATAATTAATGATAAAATCGTTAAAAACTGAATAACATATATCTAGTATGGTAGGTAATGTTACATGAACATTAAACTGCAGTATTAAAGTTAAACTCTCTATTGCAACGTCAAACTCTGACATTAATAAAGTAATATTACTACAAATTACTATCGAGTTAATATAAATGGTACTGGAAACTTAAACTACTACCACTACTACTACTACTACTGCTGTTACTAGTACTACTACTATTACTACTACTACTGCTACTACACTACTACATCTATACACTACCACTACTACTACTACTGCTGCTACTAGTGCTACTACTACTACAACTACTACTACTACTACCACTTCTACTACTACTTCTAATATTATTTTCACTACACCTCCTATTACTACTACTACCAATGAAAACAATACTACAAAGGTTACTTGTAATAATTATAACAACAATGAAATAATAAATGTTGTTACTAATTGTAATACTACAACCAAAACTTTTTATGGAAAAATTTAGCGACAAAAAATTACTTCCAACCATAGACATGGCAATCGAAGTTACTGTTATTTCTTTGTGCTATGACGCCATCGTTGTTAATGTTGTTATTTTGTTTACCTGTACTAACTTTACAGCTGCTAGTAATTTTATTATTCGTAATTATGTTATTTTTATTGTTGCTGTTGTTACTGTTCTCCATGTTGTTGTTTTGTTTCAGAAGACCACGGCCTAAGCTGTCATCCGAATTCATTTGCTGGCGTTGGTTGGTTGGTTGGTTGGTTGTGTGTTGCGTTCGATTCGACCAGTGTGAATTTATTTAAATATTAATAAAAATCGTGACGTCAATATTATTATAATTATTATTATTATTATTGTTATTGTTACAACAACAATAACAACAACAACAAACAACAACAATAACAACAACAACAAACAACAACAATAACAACAACAACAACAAACAACAACAATAACAACAACAACAAACAACAACAATAACAACAACAACAACAAACAACAACAACAACAAACAACAACAATAACAACAACAACAACAGACAACAACAAACAATCTGATAGACAGACAAACAAACAACGACAGTGCAAAACTAACAGCAACATCATTCTCTCTCAAGTTCGACTTCATCCTCTCTCCATCCCTGATGCTGGAGCTTCTCTTTTTAGCCATGCAGAACAGGATCGTCGTTATGGCCAGGAAGACGATGACGATGAAGACGAACGCCAAGATGATGGTCAATAGGAAGGGCGTGTTTTTGGCTATGCTTAAGTAGTTGCTCTGATGGCTCGTGCCGTGCAAAGTTTTGCCGAAAAAATCATTGTCGTCGTTGTTGTTGTTGTTGTTGCTGTTTTTGTTCGGGTTGTATTCTGGAAGGTGTAGAAATGTTTGACGTTTATAAAATTAATAGCATTAATAACGATTTATTTATTAGGCAGTTATTTATTAAAAATTAAACATTATTCGGAGTTGAATAGTCTTTAATAACAACTGCCCTCGCCGAAAACAACAACAAAAACAACGACAAAAGAAACTAAAACGGTGTTCCAACAAACTATTTTTTAACAATAACAACAAAAAAAACTAAATAACAAAAACAAAATCATAAGCAACAACAACACCAGCAACAACAGAACCAACAAGAACAACAAAACCCAGAAACCACAACTCAAAAATGTTTTTTGGCAATCTGCCACGGAGGAACCTGGCAAGAAGACAGTTGAAGGAGCCATGGAGTCATCAACAACGACGTGCACAGCGACAACACTCATTAGTGGAAATGTTGCAGAGTCCGTCGCTGAGACAAATAGCAACATTGTTGTGTTGTTCTTCAACGAATTCAGTGGACTCCTGACGCACATGTAGCCGGACGTTGAGTCGATTCTGAAGTAGTGCTCGGCGTGAATCGCTGAGTATAACTGTTCTGCTGCTGCTGCTGATGTTGCTGTCGTTGCTGAAGACGATGATGATAATGATGGTGATGTTGGGATGAGCTGTGATGATGATGGTTCTGCTAGAAATGATGACGACGATGACGATGTTTCTGGCGACCTCTTAAAAATTAGACGCTGATTTAACTGTTGTTGTTGTTGTTGTTGTTGTTGCAATCGGTCATGATATCGATCGCGTTTGTACAGAAAATGTTGTTGTTGATGTTGTTGCGGATGATGTTGTTGCGGATGATGACGA